AGAAACTTAAATTTTTGTATAGAAGTTGTTATTTTAAATCCTCCCTTGTGGGCAGGTAAAGGGCCAGATTTAAAAAAAATATATATCAAATGAAAGAAAAATAACCAAGGTTTTAATAAAAAAAAATAATTATTTTAATTTGTTCATTTTTCAATAAGTTATGGAAGTTTTAAAAAAAAAAGTGAAAAAAATGACAAAATTTACCGATTTTTAAATTGGTGGTTTCCCCCATTTACGGAGAACGAGGGAAAATTTTTTAAGTGTAATGTCTTCAACTATATACGATTTGTGATCTTTTGACGTATAGTTGAGAAAAATCGGTCCTGTCAGAGCTGAGAAAATGTAGTGACAGACACAAAAAAAAAATAAAAATAAATTATAATGATAAAATTTATATTTTCTCAGCATTACACCGAAGTTAAAATGTAATATTTTTTTATATTTTTACATGCCACTAAGTTTTTAAATCAAGTATTGGTCATACTTATTTTAAAAGTATGAAATTATAACGTTAATGTGTTTTAAAATAAATACATTAATATCAAATGTACTTTTTAAATGAACAAAAAATTTAAATTGCATTATTTTAGATTACTATTTTAGTATCACTTAAAAATAAATTTAATGTATGTAAATTTAACGTCTTATAACTTTTGTAAATGATGTTTTAAAAAAATAAAATTTTTTTCGTCTATTTTAAAATACATAATTTTAATTATTTTTAGTTTAAATAGGAGCTAATTAGATTTTTCCGTCTAACAAAATCTGTTGCTCACGAGAGAAGTTTTAAAACTATAATAGGGTTTGAGTATTTATTCTCAAAATTGAAATTGTAATTTATCATAAATTATTGGACGATTAAACATTTTTTTTTTGAAAGGGCTAGCGACTTCCTTTTAAAACATCTATTAGATTTACATTAAAGCTGTCAATAATTGATAACTCAATTTTAAATCTTAAAAAAGATAGAGTGGTTAAAAGAGGGGTACCTTTGCTCTCCTTTAAGACAATACTGTTTTACTTAAAATATAAGCATAAAAAATTATAAAAACACAAAAATCAGTGAAATTTTTACACAAAAGGCATTGCTTTCTAACTTCAAGTACTATTTACGTATAGAATACAAGTAGTCAGTAAATTTTTTTTTTTTAATTTAAAGTGCGCAACATAACATTGATCATAATTTATACTATATTTATAATAAATATAAATATACATTATATTAAATTAAGAATGTGTTTATATCAATCCTGATTTGCCCTTTTTTTTACATGTATATGAATAGATTGACTAAAATAATTAAGTAAATAATGTTTTTTAACTGAAAAATATCATAAAATAATACATTATGCCCGATAATTTTTTTATATATACACCTATTTAAATAAAGAAATGCTATTAGTTATTCAGAATATAATATTTAGTAAAATTAAGAGGCGTAACATGAAGGTGAGTAATGCACATTCTTTGAAGTACTTTATTGAAATCTAAAAGATAATTTTATTTTATTCTGGCAATTTAGAACTGGCAATTGATATATTTTTTTATGACAATTTCATGTTTGATATTTAACGAAGGTAAATTTTATTTTATAATATTTATGTCTATTAAAGTTTATCAAATAAATTTCTTAATTAATAACTAATATGTGAAACAATTTAAAAAAATTTAGGTGGAATTAACGGTAAAGAAGGGTGCCTATATCATTACCCGATTTTGAAATTTTTATGAAATTTTTAATTACTAGATAATTTTAACAGGTGTTAACTAATAATATTATCTAAAAACGGTATATTAGGCTATCTTAACTTATAATGGTTAGAAAAAAAATTTAAATAATTATTGTAATATAATAATATTCTTCGCGGCGCTTTCGCTGGCATCGGCGACGCAGTTAACGGCATGATCTTCAGGCGTCAAAAACTGAACAGCGTTGATTATCAATGGAGCGCAAGTGTTGATAGGTTCATCGAGTCTGGTCGTGCGACACGTTCAGAGCCGGTGGCGTACACCCTCGACGTTGTCACTTAGACAACGGGAAGAAGACTTAACGTATAATTTACGGCGGGACGTAGTCGGCCTTGCAGGACTCGCGGGACATTGCACCGTGACGTATGGCACGTGGTGTTGGTCAGTCAAATACTTATAGTAGGCCTGGTCGAATACTAACATATAGTTTAAAATATTTGAAAATGCCCATCACTTATTGCAATCAACAATCTACTATTATACAAAATAATTCTACTATCGTTACTTCAAATTAATTATTTGTTTAATAGGAATATATTCAAACAAAATATATATAACTAAAGAAAATAGAGAAGGGATAAAATTTAGGCATCTTAGACACTTGATTACATAATTTTATGAATCTAATTAAATTTTAATACAATAATAAAAATTAATTAATGTGCGCATTTAGGTATTTTAAATAAAAATTTGGATGAAAAAAAAATATGCCCGTTCGTAGATGGTACCACAGAATATGCTGCTAAAATTGGTGACATTAAAACATTAAAACTAGCTTACGAAAGTGGTTGTGAATGGGATGAAGATACGACTGCTGAAGCTGCTGCAAATGGACATTTCGAATGATTAAAATATGCCCATGAAAATGGTTGTAGCTGGGATGAAGAAACAACAAGAGCAGCTGCTAGTTATGGTAATTTAGAAACCTTAAAATATGTTCATAAAAATGGATGTAAATGGGACAAAAAAACAACAAGAGATGCAGCTCTATATGGTAATATAGAATGCTTAAAATATGCACATGAAAATGGCTGTAGCTGGGATGAAGACACAACAAGAGACGCTGCTGAAAATGGACATTTAGAATGTTTAAAATATGCACATGAACATGACTGCAGTTGGAATGAAGAAACAACAAGAAAAGCTGCTTTGAATGGACATTATGAATGTTTAAAGTATGCACATGAAAATGGATGTCCATGGGATGACGGTATACTTACTGCGTCTATTAAAAAAAGTAGTTTAAAAATTTTAAATTATTTACTTGAAAATAAATGTCCATGTGATGAAAAAACAGCACAAGCTGCTGCCAGTTATGGTAATTTAAAATGCCTAAAATATGCTCATGAAAATGGATATCCATGGGATGAAAACACAACGTTAAATGCTGCTGAAAATGGGCATTTAGAATGTTTGATCTATGCACATGAAAATGACTGCCTTTGGAATAATGAAACAACAAGAAAAGCTGCTTTGAATGGGCATTATGAATGTTTAAAATATGCACATGAAAATGGATGTCCGTGGGATGTAACCACAACGATAGCTGCTGCAATAAATGGGCATTTAGAATGTTTAATCTATGCACATGAAAATGACTGCAGTTGGAATGAAGAAACAATCAGTAATGCTGCTTTGAATGGACATTTCGAATGTTTAAAATATGCACATGAAAATGGATGTCCGTGGGATGAAAACACAACGATAGCTGCTGCAATAAATGGGCATTTAGAATGTTTAATCTATGCACATGAAAATGACTGCAGTTGGAATGAAGAAACAATCAGTAATGCTGCTTTGAATGGACATTTCGAATGTTTAAAATATGCACATGAAAATGGATGTCCGTGGGATGAAAACACAACGATAGCTGCTGCAATAAATGGGCATTTAGAATGTTTAATCTATGCACATGAAAATGACTGCAGTTGGAATGAAGAAACAATCAGTAAAGCTGCTTTGAATGGACATTTCGAATGTTTAAAATATGCACACGAAAATGGATGCCACTGGATGAAGACATTACTAGTTATGCTGCTATAGGTGGTAATTTAAATTGTGTAAATTTTGCTCGCGAAAATGGATATCCATTTGATGATGACATAATTATAGATGCTATTATAAGAGGCAATTTAGAAATTTTAAAATATGCACATGAAAATGAATTTCCATGGCCTGAAGGAACAACTAACGTAGCAGCAAGATTAGATGATTTAGATTTTTTAATATATGCTCATAAAAACGGTTGCAAATGGGATAAAGATACATTAATTAATGCTGCCATGAAATTTTTAAAATTTTTAAAATATGCTCATAAAAATGGATGTCTATTAGATGATAGGATAACTACTGTGGCCATCGATAATGGTAAATTTGCAATTTTAAAATATGCACATAAAAATGGATATCCGTGGCCTGAAGGAACAACAAAAGTAGCTGCAAATTATGGTAATTTAGAATTTTTAAAATATGCTCATAAAAACGGTTGCAAATGGGATGAAGATACAATAGTTACAGCAGCCATGAATGATAATTTTGAAATTTTAAAATATGCACATGAAAATGGATGTCCATTAGATGATAGGATCATTAGTGTAGCTATTGAAAATGGTTATTTTAAAATATTAAAATATGTACATGAAAATGGATTTCCATGGCCAGAAGGAACAACAAAAGTAGCTGCAAATTATGGTAATTTAGAATTTTTAAAATATGCTCATAAAAACGGTTGCAAATGGGATGAAGATACAATAGTTACAGCAGCCATGAATGATAATTTTGAAATTTTAAAATATGCACATGAAAATGGATGTCCATTAGATGATAGGATCATTAGTGTAGCTATTGAAAATGGTTATTTTAAAATTTTAAAATATGTACATGAAAATGGATTTCCATGGCCAGAAGGAACAACAAAAGTAGCTGCAAATTATGGTAATTTAGAATTTTTAAAATATGCTCATAAAAACGGTTGCAAATGGGATGAAGATACAATAATTACAGCAGCCTTGTATGGTAAATTTGAAATTTTAAAATATGCTCATGAAAATGGATGTCCATTAGATGATAGGATTATTAGTGTAGCTATTGATAATGATTATTTTAAAATATTAAAATATACACATGAAAATGGATTTCCATAGCCAGAAGAAACAACAAATGTAGCTGCAAGTTATGGTAACTTAGAATTTTTAAAATATGCTCATGAAAACGGTTGCAAATGGGATGAAGGTACAATAATTACAGCAGCCATGAATGGTAATTTTGAAATTTTGAAATATGCACATGAAAACGGATGTCCATGGGATTATGACACAACTAGAGCTTCTGCAGCAAGTGGTTGTTTAGACTGTTTAATGTATGCTCATGAAAAGGAGTGTCCATGGCATGAAGAAACATTAAATACAGCTGCCGCACATGGTAATTTAGATTGTTTAAAATATGCATATGAACATGGATATAATTGGACTGAAGGTACGATGAGAGGCGCTGCTGCCAATCGACAATTAAAATGTATCAAATATGCCTATGAAAATGGTTGTAAATGGAATGTTGGTACAACAAGGGAAGCTGTCGCAAGTGGTTGCATTGATTGTCTGAAATTTGCTCATAAAAATGAATGTAATTGGGATGAAGGTACTATAGTTACAGCTGCCACACGCGGAAATTTAAGTTGCTTAATATATGCCCACGAAAATGGATGTAAATGGGATGAAGGCACCACAAGACTTGCTGCTGCAAATGGTCAGTTTCGTTGTTTAAAATACGCCCATGAACATAATTGTCCATGGAGTATAAATACCATTTATGAAGCTACTCAAAGAGGTTTTTTTGTGATAATCGACTATGCTAACGAAAATGGCTGTATTAGTTAGATTACTTATAAAATATTATTTATATTTTATATTTAATTACATTATATTTGAAATAAATCGTCTTGAGCTAAAATAATAATAATTATATTGAGAGCTATCATGTAATTTTACTTGCTTTATAAATACTATTTTTGAATTTATAACCAAAAATCTTAATAATAAATGTCCGAATTTTTCAATCATGTAATTATTGTTCAACACACAATAAATATAAAAATGTTGCATTTTCATACAAATTTTTATAATTTTTTATAAATAACAGTAAATGTGTATAAAATTAACGTGTATATTAACTAGGTGACCTTTAGTTACATGAGAGAATTTTTTTTTTTATATTTGTAAGTGCTACCCCCTAGAATTATTTAAATACATAAAAAAATTAATTGTACAGAATTTGGAGACGATTGGTCAACTCTAAGACTTGCCCCAAAGGGGTTAATAATAACCCCCTAAGGATGATTTTTAGTTTCTTTTGTCTATCTCAAAAACTTAATATTAATCTTAACAAATTCATTTTTTTCTATTTAATAATGTCAATTTCAAACTTGCAAGTTGAGCTGAAAGTTATTGTAATAAATTCATTTCTTTTTTTTTATTAAAACTTTTACTTTAAAGGACAAAAAAAAGTAGTTTCAAAATTATTACTTTTAA